AATGTATATCTTGTTAGAAGTGTCTAGATACATTTTTAAAGTTCAAATATAAACGAGACACATTTATGTCAAGTTAAAATATTAACGAGATACATTTATATGAAGTTAAAATGTCTAAATGATCACGATTTAAAAAATTATTGTATCAAAGTTAAAATACTTATAGATGTATCTGAAAAAAATGAGATAATGACATTTCCCGTTTTGAATAAAAACTTGCTGCGTCTTATCGCCACGTAATGGCCACAGCTGCTTAAACATTAACCGTTGGATAAATTATGAGTTATTCTGAGCCGTTGGATAGTATGTAATATGGGACCCATGATTGATAAATCTCTATGAATCTTAAAAAGATTATATCAGTGACGTTTTTCAACATACGCAACGTAGAAGTCGGTGACCTTGTTTCACAAATGGATCAAAACGGCGTCGTTAGCTTCCGCCACCGTCAATCTCCATCATCCGATAGGTTTCTCGGCGTCTTCTCTCCGCCGCTGAGTGATGCTGCTCTCGTCGGCGGTACAGATGAACCAGTGGCCGATGATGATGAGCTTAACGAAGATGACGTGTTCTGGACTGGAAGAGTTTTGACTGAATCTCAACTCCGCTCTACTTCTCCTTCACGGAATAGTTTCCGTCAGCCTGAGAAGTTTGGTATTCTCGCGGCATTAGTGGAGGATCAGCAGAAAACTAATCTGCCTGTTGTCCGTCGGAAGCCTTCAATGGCTTCTTCGCCATCTAGTACGGATTCGATCTCGCAATCGCCGATTTCATCTTCTCCTTCTACTGTGATACCGTTTTCACGTGCGTTTCCTTCAATTCCTAAGCCACCATCTGGTAACAATAATTTTAGTCACTCAAAATCCATGCCGGCGAGGAACTTCCAGCACTCGGCTCCGGTCAATGTTCCAATGATGGCGAAGAAGGCACCAAAGCATGGAGACCTTGCTGAAGTTGAAATTGACGACGATGATGCTGATGATGAGATGTTACCGCCGCATGAGATGGTGGCCCGAGGATCAATGAGGTCTCCTAGAACCACTTTCTCGGTGCTGGAAGGCGTCGGAAGAACTCTCAAGGGGAGGGATCTTCGTCAGGTTCGCAATGCTGTGTGGCGCCAAACAGGTTTTCAGGATTGAAGTATGCTCATGTTGATATAACTATAGATCTTGTTTTAGATATCTGAAGTTTAAAACTGACCTTATGTTTTTGTTATATTCTGTATATAGGCAATGAAGAAATGTTTTTACAAATTTCTTCAGTTTTTATATGGCCTAAGTGTATTGAAAGAAGATGAAGTTATTATCTAGAAAAAAATTGCTGATATGTTTTATCAACATGTACATTTTGGGCAATGATCTCTTTGAATATTAATGCGAAAGAGTTTTGTTGAATTCTATATGATTCTGTTGCTCGAACTTCATTATTTGTAAGTTAAAAAGTTTCCAGCTTTTAGCCATTGATCTTTGTTATCTTTGCTGTGTGTATAGTGGAAGGTCATAGATCATTGCCTGTCCTGATGGTTCCTCTGTCGAATTCCCATAGCTGATTATGTTTGATCATACACATTATCTAGTAGCTTGGGTGACTTCTTTTGCACTTTCTGTGCAGTTTGTGAACTGAATTAGTGGACTGGTCCCTCGGAATCAAGTTTTTGTAGTTCCTCCTATAAGTCCTCTGTTTTTACCATGATTTGTAGTGTCCTTTATCTAGCAGTTTGTCATCTAGTTCTATGTTGTATATAGGCAATGGAGAAATGTTTTTACAAGTTTCTTCAGTTTTTAATGTGGCTTAAGTGTACTGAAAGAAGATGAAATTATTATCTGAAAAAAAAAGGGTGATATGTTGCATCAACAAGTATGTTTTGGGCAATGATCTCTTTGAATATTAATGCGAAAGAGTTTTGTTGAATTCTATATGATTCTGTTCCTCGAACTTCATTATTTGTAAGTTAAAAAGTTTCCAGCTTTTAGCCATTGATCTTTGTTATCTTTGCTATGTGTATAGTGGAAAGTCATAGATCATTGCCTGTCCTGATGGTTCCTCTGTCGAATTCCCATAGCTGATTATGTTTGATCATACACATTATCTAGTAGCTTGGGTGCCTTCTTTTGCTCCTTCTGTGCAGTTTGTGTACTGAATTAGTGGACTGGTCCCTCGGAATCAAGTTTTTGTAGTTCCTCCTATAAGTCCTCTGCTTATACCATGATTTGTAGTGTCCTTTATCTAGTAGTTTGTCATCTAGTTCTATTTTGTCTATAGGCAATGGAGAAATGTTTTGACAAGTTTCTTCAGTTTTTAATGTGGCTTAAGTGTACTGAAAGAAGATGAAGTAATTATCTGGAAAAAAAAAGGGTGATATGTTGCATCAACAAGTATGTTTTGGGCAATGATCTCTTTGAACATTAGTGCAAAGATAGTTCTTTAGATCTTATATGATCCTGTTGGACGCGCTTCATTATCTGTGAGTTGAAAAGTCTCCAGCTTTTAGCTATTTAGTTCTGTTGTATTTGATAAGTCTATAGACTATAGTGGAAGTTCATAGTTTGTTGCCGTGTTCATGTTTAAACGCTACCATGTTTTGATAGTTCCTTTGTCAATTCCCCATAGCTGATCACGTTTAATCTCACACATTATTTAGCAGTCCAGATGACTTCTGTTACTCCTTCTGTACAATGTGTGAACTGAATTAGTGGACTGGTCCCCCGGAATCAAGTTTCAGTAGTTCATCTGCTTTTACCATGATTTATAGTTTCCTTTAACTAGCAGTTCCTCATCTAATTGAAGCAGCTGAAAATATCACCCGTCTTTCTTTTTTTGTGGTGATGGTGGTGTTCACATCAACTTGAACACGCCTTCACTATTTCGCTGAGAACCTTCATCATCTCATTGTCTCACCAGTATCACTAGTGTAAATTTCGAGCAACTCTGTCCACCTAGTTGTTTGTTTCTTCTCTTGGATCTCTTGGAGTGGAATCTTGGGTTCTCATTATTTCTGTTCCAACTACATTAGGCATTATCTTTGTATGCATCATGTATCTTGACTGTGACACAAAACACTTCACACTAGCCTTGTCATTGGATGCTCTTGCCATTGAAGCTGTAGAAGAACATCTATCTTTGACTGTTATCGTTGATATATTCAAATCATGGTTTGGTCTGCATTGATTTCAAGTTACAGAGCCCTGAGGAAGGTCAAAGAAATTTCCGGGAATCAGATTTCGATGATCTAAGTTTGATCCAAATGCATGAGCATTCGCACTCATGAGCTTCAGTTATTGCATTATTTGGTGATTATTATTGCTCCTTGTTTTTAGATTGCGATGTTATGTTTTTCCTATTATTTGCTATGTCACTTTTGTATCATTCTTTTGAACTGTTTTGATGTGTGATACTCAAGTCGAGAATCGTTAAGCTCTCTACTACGTAGAGGTAGGTCTGCCTACACTTTATCCTTCCTAGCATAATCTACTTCTTGAAGAACTGCAAAAGACAATATATGTAAGTAATATTCATGAATTTTAGTACAAAAATAGAAAAAATTATCCTCTATAAAAGAAAAAGGCATAATACATATATTGGACCCTCAACTTGGCTTCAAATTTTAACTCTGACCTCCAACTTTCATAGTGCACAAACAGACACTTTAACAATCCAACCTTTTAATAAATAAACACGCGATTTTTGGAGGCAAAGAGCGTGAAATGCAAACGCTCCCACATGTATTAGTGAGCCACTCAGTGGCTGCCAATTAATTAAATACTTTACACGTCCATTTTAGAACTAAAAAAAAAAATTAAAATTACTTTTAATTAATATACAAGGGTTATAGCTCTTTTTCCACAATGACAAAAAAAATTAGAAGCCATTTGCACTAAATATGAGCACAAATCGTTTTAAAAGATTAGAAAAAAAATTTGATTTGAAGGAGGAGGAAAGAGAAATGAGATTTTGATTTGGAAATATAAAGATATTATATAAAAGGGATTGATTAAGGGTAGATTTGTCATTTCAGCATTTTTTTACTGTTGTGGGCCTCAAAAATTACTCCTAACTCGCACAAAATACGTGCACATCACGCGTTTTGCCAGGTAGGACACGCGTGTTTATTTATTAAAAGGTTGGATAGTTAAAGTGTCTATTTGTGCACTATGAAAGTTGGAGGTCAAGGTTGAAATTTGAAGCCAAGTTTAGGTTCCAATATATGTATTATGCCAAAGAAAAAAGAAAGAACCTTAATCACTAATTCCATCACTCTCTCTGTGTCTTTTATTATACACTTGTTATAGAATTTGATGGACAATAATTTTCAAATTTGGAAATTTGACATAGGATTTTGGTTGAAAATATCGAGCTAGGCAGAGTGTTGTGAGCGTTAGACATGCTTAGAATGCACAATCAAATCTCTTTTAAGACAAAGCCTCACAAAATTAAACCCCAAAAAAGACTGTTAAAACAAAGGTTCAATTCAACTTTCTAAAGTTGGGGTAGGTATTAAGGGAGAGTGGGAGAAAATAAAATTAGTCCCACCTTAATGGATTAGAGTACAAGTTCGTTGTTTAGTTGACAACTCACAACAATTTCAAAAGAATATTTTCTAAAACTACTCCATCATCTCCATCTTTTTGCTTTCTAATTCAAAAGTTGACATCATTGATACTTTCATGTGTTCAAATTTATATAATACCGTTCAAATTTCGAGAGTCAAACAGTTTAATTTTGACGACATGAAATCTTCAAATTCTTTGAAATAAAATGTATATGACAAAATTACAGTAGAAGACAGGCTCATTTGAATCTCGAAATTCAAAAGTATCACATAAATTGGGATAATCACATTTTCATTTACTACCTAGTGGCTACTAGTACTATTTAATTAAATAACCACTCTTCTTGCTCCATTACCAAAATAATAAAAAGTCATTATTATAATAAGTCCATCTTACAAATCCACCCTATATAAGTTCTATCCCCTATTGCTCTTCTCATCACAATCAAGTAAATAGCCATTCAATCCTTCATTTAAATTCTAGCCACTTTTTTTATTCTTTCATTACAAATGGAGAAAAGTGAATCAACCAAAATTGATGTTGTGGAAACCAACAAAGAAAAGAAAGGAAAAGCCCCACTTTTAGGAACAGCAGCTCCTGCTATTGTTGCTGCTGTTGCTCATGATGGACATGCAAAAGGAGGTGGTGCTAAAAGAGGAATTGCAATTTTTGACCTTATTTTAAGAATAGCTGCTTTTGCTTCTGCATTAGGTGCTACTGTGGCTATGGCTACTACTGAAGAAACTCTTCCCTTTTTCACTCAGTTCTTTCAGTTCGAAGCTAGCTATGACGATCTTCCAACTTTTACGTAAGCAAATCAATTGCCTGTTTGATCAAACTTTCAAAATTTGCTTATTTTAAAAGTTCTCTAAAAAAAAGAACATTTGGCAAATAACATTTGCAAGAATTCAAAAAACACTTTTTTTTTTCCTACTAACTTGACTAAACACGTCAATATCTGAAATAAACACTTTTGACTTCTCGTCTAATATTGCCTAGTTGTTAAAATTTATTTATGTGCATGATATGTAAATAATTTACTACATTATATATATGGGAATTAATTAATTAATTTTGCTATATTTTACAGGTTTTTTGTGGTAGGTATGGGAATAGTTGTTGCATACCTTGTCCTCTCTGTACCTTTTTCTATTGTTTGCATTGTACGACCCCATGCAGTTGTACCAAGGCTCCTCCTCATTATATTTGATACGGTACGTAGAATTTTGTGTAAACAGTATCGATCTACTATCAGAGGTTAAATATATTCTTGTTGTTGCAAAATTAATCCAAATATGCTCTTGATAATTTTGAAGGTGATTATTGCATTGGCAACGAGTGCAGCAGGGTCATCAGCAGCCATAGTGTATTTGGCTCACAATGGAAACCAAGATGCAAATTGGTTAGCAATTTGCCAGCAATTTGGTGATTTCTGCCAAAGGGCCAGTGGAGCAGTGGTGGCCTCCTTTATCACGGTGGTGCTCTTGATCCTCATGGTGGTTCTCTCTGCTTCCGCTCTTCGAAGACACTAAGGACGAGTTCGTTTTATGGAAAAAGAAAAAAGTATTCGCTACTGCTTACAACACCTTCATTCACTCATCTCGTTGTATATTGAAAAAATAATTAGTGTTATATTGGATTACAAGTGTTGATGTTTTCCTTTTGTTTTGTTAAGGTGTGGATGTTGTGTTTCTGTTTTTATTAAAATGGGGAAATTTGGGAAGTCTTGTAAATCATAATTGGTAAATTCAGGGAATCTATATTGCAAATTATGTTGTAATTTTCATAGTGAACTTTATATATTGTACTTTTCAATTTACATCCATGTATTATGACTATATTTCAGTATTCATCTATGTATTGTCCGTATTTTATCTTTCATTAAGAGTAAAAAATATATTTTAAGTATTTTGATTTTTCGAGTTTATTACTTGAATTATCAGATATATGATTTTCCTACCTGAATTATTACCAAATGTTTGTAGAAACACACCAACCAATGGTGATGTTTCACATAGATAAAGTGAACAAGTAATAGTTGAAGCGTATTTTGATAAATTTGGTGATAGATGACTAAAAATAGCAAGTAAATATATAGTATATGTGTATAATCATGTATAAGTAATATATAATTTATGTATATCTATCTATCTATTTGAAAAAGTAAATAGTAAATTCGAGGCTATTTATGTAAAGAGGCCATAAGTCCAAATTCTCAAATAATACTAAATTCAAGCCCAAAATCTAATTACTTCAAAGTCCATCTCATTCTTCACTTTGACATTCAGCCTTCACTCTCTTTCTCTCTACGCAGCACAACAATGGCTGCCTTGAGAAAATTATTATTACCCAAAAATACAAGTGTTGTTATATCAAACTCTGCAGTTTTCCTTTCTCGAAGAGGCATAGCTTCTAAGCTATTCGTTGGAGGTATTTTTTTCCTCTTTTTTTTTAAACACATGTATAGTCGATTGTTTTTTAGAAATTCAAATGAAAGAGCTCATTCTTGTAATGAATTTGTAATTATTTGATAAAAAAAATGATATTTTTTGGGTTTAGTTTGCCTCTATAGCGCTGTTGCCTAGGTACTTATGCTCTGCAATTGGGTTTATGGGTCTGTTATTGAATAACGTAGTAATAAAGAAGGGTTGTATGCAGATGAATTGAATTATTTGTGTACTTTGATTATCATATTGTTTTGTTTCCGTGTTACTTTTTGCTGACCTGCTTTGAAATGTTTTGCCTTGAGCAAAGGGTCTATCGGAAATAGTCTCTCTACCTCTCTAGGAAGGGGTAAGGGGTAAGGTCTGCATATACTTTACCATGGACCCCACTTGTGGAATTAGGCGGGGTTTCTTGTAGTAGTTGTCAAAACTCTTGCAAAGAGGTATGTTAGATCCTCTTGGAGTATTTATTTAGATGGAGAATGATTCTCCTCTGGCAATCAAAAGAGGAGAAAAGAACCGAAACATAGGAGCTAATCTTAAATCACCTACTCGATTGACAAGCAGAAATTTTCTTCCTAGTGTATTTGCGTTAAGTGTAACTGTGTAAGCGAGAAGTGAAATAACAAGTATGAAGCAAGAGTTATTTCTGTCATTAGTTATAAAATATGTTGGTTAGCTGGAAGGACAATCGTTTAATTTTTGCATCCAAGGTATGGCCTAGTAGTGAGTAAAGTGGGTTGAGAACCACGAGGTCTCCGGTTTCAATTCCTCGGAGGCTAAAACACTAGGTTATTTCTTTCCACCAAGCTTTCATAGACAGAGTTACCCGATACCTTTGTTGGTGGGAGATAGCAAGTATTCCATGAAGTTAGTCAAGGACCCAAGGTGCCCATAAGCTAGTCTAAAATCCCACAGTTCAAAACAAAAATAGAATGGATAGTCAGAGTACGCTGTGGAAAGGGGACTTTAAGGAAGATTAGGACAAGATCACACTGCTTTGGGGTTAAAACAATCAGTCTTTTTCTCATTTTATGTCTAAAGGCAACCTTGAAAAATCTTTCTGATATTGCCTAATTACAATACAAAAATTATTCGAGAAGCTATACAGGGAAATTCAGAAAAATTGTTTTTAACATATTCTCTACTCTTTTGAGTAGAAACGTAAACAAGCATGATCAGTATCCTAATTAGCATAAGTATCTGGAAAAGGATGGGTGAAAAGCATTTGCAATGGCCGAAACGAAGATTCAGGGGTCCTTCTGTAAAAAATATCATGGAACTTACTCGGTGTAGTATGATTAGGACATAGGTAATAGATATTAGATACTATAGGTAGGCGTTTGGTTGCAAGAAAAGAGTCTAACCTTGTTAACTTCAATTTAAATGGCCATTTATCTTTCCATTTAGAACTCTAGATCTTTCATCTGGTTGGTTTTTACCTGAAATGGGGAATAACATGGGGATACATGATAGCTTCGGTTAGCAGTGCACTGTTTTCGGTATTAGCTCTCACCTTTCAAAATTCATACTACTACAATTTCCTCCGTTACAATCTGACTTATTACAGTCCTGTTTTAGTCCATCTATTTAGTGTTGGCACTTGGCTAACTGAGTTTTTACAATGCAGCTATACTTGCAGGCCCCCAAAGAACCTCTAATATAGCTTCTACAGATATTATGACATGACAAATAAAAAACAATATCAATAAATCTTCAAAAGCTTTCTATATGTCTAGAGCAGCTTACTCAGTTTAGCACAACATATATAAATCATCTTTAATTATCTTGATATCACAGAGGAGCTTTTTCCAATCTGTTCCGTTGCAATTTATGTGACAATCTTCCCTTTTTAGTCAGACCCATAAAAAGTGACATCTTTCTATATTTGGTCCAACAATTTAACTTTAAACTTTCTTTTCACTTTATCCTTAGTGAGATGATTCATAGCCACACAAATATTTATGACTTATTTTAGACCATAAGTTTCAAAAGTCTTCCTTTCATTCTTAAAACAACAATGATTTGTCTAGCTATGATTGTGTGGCCTTTAACAACTATTACAGAGTTGATCTTGATTAGTTCCGCCACATAGTCAAATGGCTTATTTAGAAAATTATCTAAGTTGTCAAGAACTTAACTTTAACTGCAGACAAACACCTTACCAGTTGAAGAACTCCGCTACACTTGCCATTTATCAGTATCTGAGGATAGCATGTACTTTCCATGTGTTCAAGATTTTATACTTTAATTACTTTCAGGAAATACAGGAAGAAACACCGGTTTGCTCACTTTACAGTGTGGTTTCCCTAATTGTGTTGGAACGATGTCGTAAACAGCTTATATTCTTGTACTGCAAAACTGGAGATATATGTCTCATTCCTTTCAGAATTAACCAATCAACAGAAACAAGTTGTTGCCAAAAGGCTGACCATCCCATCCTATTTAGAAGTCTAAAGGAGTACTCGTTACCCACTGCTCTGCCATTGGAAAGAGAAATGAACAATATAAAGATCATTGTCCACTTTAACCCAAAAAAAAGAAGAAGATCATAATCGAAAGAAACAAACTTATGAGATATTGTTATTTCAGGCCTCTCATTTTACACCACAGAGAAGGCGCTGTCAGAGGCATTTTCTCAACATGGTCAAGTTATTGAAGGTGAACAAATAAACATATGTTGAGCTCTCTTTTAGATATAGTAGGACTTCACGTCTTTAGTTTAACCTTGTTTTATTTGCCAGCTAAAATTGTGACGGATAGAGTCTCAGATAGATCCAAGGGCTTTGGATTTGTCACCTATGCATCTGAAGATGAAGCGGAGAAGGCCTTGCAAGAAATGAATGGCAAGGTATGTCCATATTATCGCTGTATCTGTTTTTAATGTGTACTATTATGTTCATTATCGTTCAATTATGTATATCGAATGATGCAGCCTCTTAATGGACGAGTTGTCTTTGTGGACTACGCAAAGCCTAAAACTGATGGTGGCGGCATGCCAATAGCCCGAGGTCCCCCTGAGCCACCAGTAGAACAATGAGAGTTACCAAACAGACCACTCTGACTCTGTGTGCTGCTAGAGTTGCAAGCCTTGCTCTTGCAAAATGATTAATCTGGAGAGCGTCGTTTCTCGTTTGGCCGGCAACCAAGAACTATACAAATATCTTGTAAGTCACCACTAGTCAAAAGAAGTTAGTTGTTTTTCAAATATGAGTGAAAAATTTATGTTACTGCAATTGTAATGACTGCAAGATTGGCTCAAATATGAAAATTATCTGTCATTAATCTATGTCATTATGTTATACTCTACTATTAGAACAAAATATATGGAAATCTTGCAGTAGTTAATTTGCCACTAATCTATTCTCCCTTGAATTTACTTTTTTTTTTTTTTTTTTGCGGGGGTGAGTGGGTGGTTTGGGTGGGTAGGTGGAAGGCATTAACTCATATTATATAATTATAAATACACTTTTTAAATTAAAAAGTCATCCTTACGTTTCGGATAAAGAAAAAAAATAGCCTATTTTTGACTCCAACAAAATTCCATGTGAACTTTTGAGGCTGAAAAGTACTGTTCTCTAAAAGAGAAAGTTGAAAGGGCATCTATTTACAAGTTTCGTGCAGGCAAGGAAATTGAAATATTTTTCTTGATCCGCATCCACTCTAGCTATGCAAGCAAGGATCAAATTTGGTGATGAAAGGATGTTCCAGTGCACAAAGCATCTCAGTTTCGGAGAAGGTTACATTGTGATGTAGGTAGCTTATCCTACCAAATACAACCATTAGTTACTGCTTTCATGACTTAAATTTGTGACCTATAATAAATAACACGAAGATAAAGATAATTTTATCGTTTCTCGAAGAATATACATTAATGTGTTTGTAGAGCTGCATAAACTCACGAATTAGGTGGTGAACTTTGAACTTTCATAATGTAACATCGTTCTAGTTGTCCAACATTATTTAATTGTAATAGAGAAATAATGATGTGTTATATTGTTTTCATCGAAGTGAGAAAGACATGCCCATAAATATCTGCTTACTATCGAGCATTTGATAGAACTGTGCTTATGATTAATGGGTGTCAAAATTTTAATATCTCTCACCTTAAAAATAAAAAGAAAGGATAAGCTATATCTTTATAAAATATATTCCCTCTGTGTTAAGATAGTATTTGATTCGGAAATGAAATTCAAGATAAAAAGAAATTTTTTTTAAAAATTACGATTCAAAATAAGTCATAGACATTTGTACGATTATAATTCATCTCAGTAAGAATGAAATGTGAAATTTAAAATTATATTGTTTATAAATAAGAAAATTCGACCTTTTATTAAACAAAGTAAAAAAGAAAGTACTATTACACATAATTGGAACATAGGAAGCAAGTATTACTACCTTCTTGCCTCTTGGTTCTTCACGGATCAACGGTAAAATTATCTTCATGTGATTTATAGATCATGAGTTCAAGCTATAGAAACAACTATTAATATTTAAATTGGAGTAAACTGTCTATCACACCCTTCGGGTGCAGTTCTTCCCCGATCACTACTAACGCGAGATCTTTTGTGCACCAGACTATTCTATTTTCTCTCTCTTTTATCTCATTATAAATATATGATATATATACCCTTAAATGATAATTACAAGTATTTTTGTAAATTATATAAAAAAAATTTTTTTTTTATTTCTCTCGTTTTTTATCTACTCAAACAAAATAGAAAACACCAAAAAGCCACAAAAATTAATATCCCAAATGCAACACATAAACTATCTAATGTCCCTTCTCTCCTCAACTTCTTCTCTTTTCTTTCCCTTCTCATTTCCAAAAACTCTTTATACCTCTTCCTTCCTATTTCACCTCTATTAGCTCCATTTCCCCTTTTACCCTCCAATACCTTTTGTAAAATTACCAAACTCTCCCTCCCATTCAAATGAGTTCCATCCATGTCCTCCACTCCCAAACTCACTTCCCTCACCTGCATCTCTCCTACCTCAGATCCACCGCACGTGACAACTATCTCACACTGCACGTGACCTCTCTTTTGATCAACGGTCAGGATTGAAGTAAAGCGTACCTGCACTTCGCCGGTTAACCAGTGCCGTTGTACGGAAACAGACTTGAAGGAGGAGAGGTTTATCGATCGCCGGCCGATCGGATCAATCAGAATCCAACTCAACGTCATGTGTTCAATCAGATCCGTACACGTGTCGTCGTCGCTCGGGTGTTTGATCGGCGTTGAAATCACCTCCTTTGGATCTATCATGTCGATTCTGAACGGCGAGGATTGGAACCAACTCGACGTCGTTTCAGTCTCTTGTACGTTACTGAAAATCGTTTTGTGTTTGTAGTGTATATCGACGGCCGATATTAATTCCGGCGGCGAAGATGAACGGTTTGAAATTGAATTTGTCTGTTGAATAATCCACTGTTTCCGGTTCCGATTAAACAAACACACGGCGAAAAAGTTTGAAAGGATTATATATATTGTAGATCTCAGCGACGTCAAATTCTCTGACTCTAAATCGTGAATTTGCTTATTCTCGGAGGAAGGGAGAGAGAAGGACTGAGAGTAGAAGGTACGGTGACCGGCGTCGGGGAAGGTGGAGATGATGTGGCTGATACGAGGAGTGGCGGTAGACGGCCAAGTGGAGTGGCATACACGTGACCATAAGTGGTTTTCTGATGAAAGGTGGTGGAGAGCGTTGGAGGAACAGCTGGTGGAAGCTAGAGTTGGTCCGTCGAGTCGAGTGAGGATATGAGCTTCGATGATATATGGATGCAAATCGGAAAAACCGGTTGCGCCACCGTCTTCCGCCGTGACGGTGGTGGTGGTGATTGGTGGGCTATGGAGTGAGGAAGTCATTTGAGAAGTGTGAAATTCTTGCTTATTGGGAGTTTGAACTTTGAAGTTGTGTTGTATTTATAGGTGCCTGCAAAGGGAAATGGAAAGGGAAAAAATTGGGGAAAATGCCCTTTGTGTTTTCAATAATTACGGAACATTAGTTAGTCGCTGCCACTGCGTGGACTCGTGAATATATGAATTTTAATCTTAATATATCATAGTTTCTTTATTTTTAATGTATCACATAATCTGTTGTTTTATGAAGTAAATTAGTTAGGAGTTTTAAACTATACGTCCCATCATATATACTTTACATAAACTAAAATATCAATAATAACAATATATTCAGTATAATTTAGCAAGTGAAATTTGAGTAAAGTTACGAATATGTAATCTTACGAAGATAAACACGTTTCTAATAGGACCTCAAATTAAGTAAAACATAACAAACTTTATGTATAAAAAGAAAATACAATAATAAATATCGACGTTCAAATTTTAATTAATTACTTGACTCTTAAATGTAGCTTTCGTGGGCGGTCCTGAAATAGAAGCCAATGGAAGGGGAATTACGTACATGATCTTAATAAAATAATAATAGAAGTACATGCAGGAGTCCACAATAATATTGTTAATTGCCGGTGTTTTAACGCTAGCCTTGTGTTTACTTTCTTAATTTTATCCTAAAAAAATTATGATTTGAATGAATACATATAAACCTTATAACACATATTTTTTTCGTTTTAATTTGTTTGATCTATTTTTTTGTTATAATTCATTTGAAAAGTCTAATAGTAAAAAATTAGATCAAGCATATTGAAATAAAAAATAATAATACGTATTATAGGATTTATATATATTCATTCAAATCATAATTTTTTAGGATAAAATCATAATTTATTATTTATGTATCGATCACCAAATTAAACGTCTACATCATTATTTGTCATGCATATTCTACTATTGTACTAACCCTTTTTTTTAATGCATTACTTGTGTAACCCACTTTCTTTTCTCTTAAAAAAAATGAAAGAAGGAAGAATTATTATGTACTCTTTCTGTTCCATTTCATATAAATGAAATTACTTTGACTTACCATAAAGCTTATGATAACAAATAAGATTTTTGAAACTTGTGGTTTAAAATAAATAATAGATGTTTGTGTGGTTATAAATCATTTTATTAAGTGTAAAATGAACATTTTAAAGTTAAATTATTACTTAATATAAATATATACCATTTTTTTTATACTGACTAAAAAGGAAAATAAGTCATATAAATCGAGACAAAGGGGGTAATATTTTTTGTCTCAATTTATGTGGTATAGTTCAAATTTTGACCGTGAATTTAGACATGAAATCTTTAAATTTTTTGAAATAAAATTTACATATTTGGAAACTACATAAAAAATATTTTTATATCACGATAAATGACAATTCAAAATATTTAAAAAATATATGAAAAATTACTATTAAAGAAAAACTCATTTGAATTTCCAAATTCATAAAGTACTACATAAACTAAGATGGAGAAGTAATGTGTTACTATAAGTATGCGTTTAAAATTCAAACCCTACATCAAGAAAACTAACTTTAATATTTAAGTAGAGTTTAGAGAAGCATAAAAAACAAATTTATCATCTCCGAGTTTCGAAAATTGCGTTGATCCAAAGAGATTATCTATAGATAGATTTTTCGATCATAAAAAAGTATAAGAAAAATGGTCAAACTAGAAGTCGTTTTCGACGTGCATCACACTGTAAAAGATATAATTGTGTTTCTTAGTGGTTTGACTAATTGACTCTTTATTGGATCTTTTTTGTGATATTTTAAGTTAATGGGCGTTGACCCCTGTTGGTTCATTCATTTATCTGTGACTTCACATATTTCAACTTGGCAAATTGTTATAACTTATATTAGAATTAAAAAATAAATAAAGGTATTATGAATTCTTTAATTTACTTATAAGGTCAAGTGGTGCTTGTGTAACTGATTTTTAGTAATCATGTGTTCAAACTAGTAATCTCAAAAATTGAGAAATTAATGTTGACTTAATCTTTTGAGCCCACAAATATCATTGTGTCCCCTTAGGTATTGATGCATTGAGTTATTGCTTCTCAAAAATAAAATATATATGCTTGTTATTAGAATAGTGGTATCTTAAATGTTGATAATTTTACTAAACTTAAAGACATCAATAATAAAAATCACACAAAAATTCGATATTTGTTTATAAGAAAGTATGTAGAAAAAGTTCGAAAAATTGATTTCGAAAACTTAAGCTAATTCTCTGAATTTATAGCTAACGAAGGATAAGGTGAATTACATGTACTATTATGTCTTAACGAAAGAGTCACAATCTATTAAAAAAAAAATTAAAAAAAATTCATAGGTTAATTTATAGTCGTCTAATATATGTTGTTTACTAGTCATGAAGCAAAATTTTCAAATAATAACTTATTTCTTTTCAGATTTTTATGGGTAAAAAATATTAAAAATAAATTTGTAGGATATAAAATTAAGTACAAAATACAATATAACTATGTCAGTCTTCGTTTTTGTCCTGCTTTCTCCCATCTTATATTAATCTAGTGGAGAATTAAATTTAAAGTTTGATTATTCAGCAATGACATCTTTGGTACTTAAATCTATAAAAATTGCAGCATGAGACAAAGTATTTTTGTGTATTAAATTGTTTGCAAGGGTCAACTTGATTTCAATCTTCGAAAAGCCATTGATTCCAACTATCGTTTATGTATATGATTCATATTAAATCTGACCAACTGTAATTTTGCATTAGAATTTGTTTTAGCGAAGTAGTTTATGTATCACCTCCTTTAATATGTATAACTATATGTATCGATTAATTTAAATAATTTTATATTTAAAGTTATCTCTGAGTTACTAGAAGGTAATTCGACTATGAATCTCCTTACAAATCAAGCTCAAGAGTAAAAAGTACCAAATGAATGGATTGGACTAAATTTGAGCGGATCAAAATTAACTGAGTTAATTTTAACATAACTTATTCTTCCTTTCATTATTTATCTATAGATACTCCTCAAAGGGACTCTATTCAATTTATAAACGACCATAATATATCACTTTTTCCTTAACATCTATCATGCTTGAAGTTTTACAAGGAATTTTTGAATGTCTTGTGTCTTCTCGAATTGAGGCATTATGTGTTTGGCAATAGCATTAAGTCAAAAATAAAACGTTAAACTTAAATGATTTTTATAAATCTTTAAGGTTACAATTCCTTAAATCTTTTCTTCTTAAAATTCTTATATATTTAATTGAATTGAATTAATTGATTATTCTTTGAATTACCATGACGTTTCTCCTTATTTAAATAAAATAAGGATGTAAATAGTATCTACGTTTAATTTTAAAGTATTTTTTTTGTCTCATAGTCCACTAATGTTTTATAAGGATGTTCAAATTAATTCATAAAAAAATGTATCAAAATATTTTCAAAGACATTTTATTTATTTAATATGTTGCATACGGTCTATAGGCATAATAAAAATAATTTTATTAAATACCAAAAATTATAAATTGAAGACCATTAATTACTGGGTGATTGTGAAGATGGAACTTCATTAGAATTATTAAAATATCATAATTTAAATTTTAACTCTTAAGTTAAATTGTTTGATCTCTTGTGAAACGGAGCGCTGATAAATATTTTATATTTATCAAAATTTACACTGGCAGTAGGAATAATATAATTATAGATTTCTATACTTCACATTTTCATTATATTTGTCACTTCACCAGATTTGAATGAACGAAGGTGAGGCCCCAGTATCCATCTTTCCCCAATCTCTTTTGGCGGAGCTGCTTCACTACGGGTAAGTTATCGGTAATAATTATGCACATTATTGTAAAAAAATTGGGTTAGTGGAACGAGAAATAGAGTAGGGGATTACAAGCTGCGAAATCATATCTTAAAGTGAAAATTCAGGTAGCTAATTTCCGTGAAAATTCAGGTAGTTAATCAACTGAGCGACTGAGATTTCCCCCTAATTGTGCATGTTGGAACAAGAATTGTGTACAGTTTATTTGTGATGACAATGTGTTTGATAATTTGCCTGAAAGAGAAGATACACAAACATGAACTAAATGTGATATTTTTGGAATGAAGTCTTTTTGCACTAGATGTATTTTGTATATATGATTGAACTTGCAACAAAGGTGATCTGTTTGTAGTTACATTGGCATTCTGTTTTAACAGAGAAGTGTGTGTGTAATTATTTCCTTCATTGGTAGATTGTTAACATCAAACAACTTATTTATAAGTCTCATAAATGACTTTAGGATGTTAGAATTGATTTCGTGATGAACGTAGGAAGACGGTGTGATCAAGGAGACATATTTTGATTCATCGTGATTTTTGCTTTAAGTCTAGTGGCATAGTTTGGATTTTTCAATGACACTTAACTAAATTTCTCCTTCGTGCACCTTTTCTTCTGTTTTATTTCTTATGGAAACTAACTAATTCTTTAGTTAGCGAGAGAACCAGTTACTGTAGGTCGTTTATTTTTCATGTTGCATCCTGTGAACGGTTATTCCACGCGTGTATGTATGTTGTTTGGTCATGTACTAATTTGGAGTTTATGCATTACATGTAATGGTACTTCAGGACTCAAAATGAAGTTGAAGGTAGTTTGGAGGAAAGTATCTGATTATGTTCGATATGATCTGAAGGAGATTGCTTTTCCTTCATCTTTACCGGACCCTCCTCACTTCAAAAAACGTAGGAAACTAACTTTGAAGGAGCGCTATCTTGTGAGTGTTTGTTTTATTTTTCTTTCTGGTAAAATCTTTTGGTAATGAATTTTTGTGATGCATTTATCAGTAATTACTGTCTAATCTTGGTAGTATTGATTCAGGTGCTTAAGGAAGCGTCTAGGCTTTATGCTGCAAGCTGGGTGAGGGACATTGGTCCTGAACTTCGACCCAATGATTACAAAAAGAAGCGTGAGATTGAAGGCGAGTTGGATGGAGGAAATGGTA